GGGGGGGGGGGGGGAGGGAGGGAGGGAAGGGAATGGGAATACCTGGCGGCATCTTCGCCCTCCAAAATCAATGATTCCCTGGTTTTCATATCCTTCTACGCGTTTTTAAATAATTTTCAGATAGATGGGCTGTGACGACCGTTGATCTTCGTTAGTTTCCTACGAACAAAGGATTTCGGTTAATGAAGAGCAATAGAGAAAGAAGATCCAAGGTTATTCTCTTCTCAGTTCCATGGATTTCAGTTAATGAAGATCCAAGATCCAAGATCCAAGGTTAATGAAGAGCAATAGAGAAAGAATATCACAAAACAGATATTGACATTCAAATCTTGTCCGAAACGGGGTTCGTTGTAAAAATGATAGATTCAAGCAGAGTAGTATACCTAAATAAGAAAGTTAAAAAATGGACAAATTGGAATCGTAGCTTTAAAGTACTAAAAAGGCCGACAAATGTCCATGAAGTTTGCATTAGTAAATTGCGTTCGGATTCTGCATGCAAATCCATGGCTATAAGTGGAGAGTAAATTGTACGCGCGGAAATTTCTATTAAAAAAAACTATATGGTAAAAAATACCTTTATACTATTGAAAGTTGCAATATAACTCACTTCAAAAACGTTTCATAACTTATCTTAAAATAGAAAAATTCTTTTTAATATTTTCAATAGAAATTGAAATTTTCCACACCATTTCAACTTTCTCCAACAGCTCAATGGATAGTTTTGAAACATTTAAGAGAGGTTAAGTAATATTGCAATTTTTTAAATAAGGGAGAAAATAATGTAAAACAACTGGAAATATCTAAATAGAAGTAAAAATGTCACCTCAAAGGCACCATTTTCTCCGAAGAGTGCTCCTCCTGATCGGGATGCCAACTTTTCCACCTGTCGCAAAGAAAAGTTCAATCCATCCAAACGAATTAAAGATTTTCCAACGCAATAAAGCATAGCAAGATAAAATTATGGAGTAAAATGGCAATCAAATATATCTTACTCATAGTTCAGAAGCGCTTTTTGGAGGGTACCTTCTAATGCCAGTAGCAATATAATTGAAACACAAGATAACACTGATTGGATTTGTACCTTCTAATGCCCTCTTTCAAATCCAATGCGACTTCTACCGGAGCCACCATCATATCCGTCTCGCGTTGATGAACCACCACTGGCTCTCATTGTCCCACCACTGCCAACTTTATCCATAGCTTTCTTACCTTTCTTCACTTCAGTCAAGAACTGATCCAGTCCAAATGGATCGGCTTCTTCGACTTCTCTTTCAAACTCCACCGGTCTGTCTCTAGGTCCAGACCTTTCTGCAGTGCCTGAAAATGACTTGTCTGGTTTGAAGCGATCAGTCTTCATAATCTTGTCTAACTGTTCGTCAGCACCTCCGTACATATCAGAATCGGCATCTTTTTTAGGTCTGTAAAGGGTTGAGAGAGTGGGCTGAGCAGTAAATAAGCCCTTGTCGTATATATTGTACTGGTCGTCGTTGGCAAATCCCGAGTCCATTCCTTTATCTTGGTTAAATAGCCTCTGATCATACATAACTTCTCCCTCTCTACCTGCTCCGGTCGAAGCCATTCCGAGTGCAACCTTCTCACTAATATCACGATCTCTATCTCTTGTAATCTTACTCTTCTTCCCCATTGCTGCATCTTTGGCTTCCAACCTTCTTTCCCTTTCCCTCTCTCTACGTCGTTCCTCACGAATCTTCTCACGCTGCAACCGCTCTTCCCTCTCTTCCCTTGTCTCCTTTGATAAATCCTTCTCTTTTTCTCTAATATGCTCGAACTCCCCTTTCATCTCAGAAGTATCTCTATCTGCAGTGCTCCTCTCAGATGGATAAGAAACTGCAGGCGGAGGTGCAGCACCAGTCCTCTCAGACCGAGCCTTTTGAGCTAAGGCTCGAAGCTCCAATTCCTTCTTCTCCTTCTGCTTCATAAGCATTTCTTTCTGAACCTTAGATCTCATTGCAACTGCTTCTCTTGCTTTCTGTTCTGCAACATACAGTGCTTCAGATAGCTTTGCGAAATTATCGTTGATTTGAACTTCTTGAAGGCCTCTGCCATCAGCTGCAAGACGCTTGTCAAGTGGGATTGTATAACCTTTCGGATTCTTCCAATTTGAAATACAAGGTGGAATCTTCCAATCCTGTTGATCCTTCACGGTGACAGGACGAGGAGGGGAATGCATGACTGGCACAGGAGGAGACCCCGAGGCTCTAGGAACACGCTTATGCTTGAACTTTGGAGGTTCGAGTGGATCTACTGGCATTTCCACCATTCTAATGATTCTCTCCTTGGCACCTGAATTAAAAGCTGCTGATTGCTGAGATGGCTTGTACTTGATAAATTTTGAATCTGATGATTGCTTGGCTACATTTTTAGGCTGAGCTGCACTCAATCTTACATTCACTATCTTTTCAAGCGCAGACTTCGTTTCCTCGGTTGTTTCTTCAATCTCTTTCTGCATCTCTTCATCCTCATCAATCTCTTCATCAGTTTTCAAGATCTTTGGAATGAGGTCTTTATGTTGTGAATAAACAATCTTTTTAGAATTTTCATTCTGTTTTACAATAGCATCATATGCAACATTTCCATGGGCATCCACCGTCACAGGAAGGATCTTTGATCCAGGCTTTGATGATTTGCCTCTACCCATGTCGAGTGGGTATTGAGCAATGTGAATCTCTGGGAAAGCACCACCATCTCCAAAATCCTCTACTTTCCGAGGAATAAATCCACTACGCTTCAAGTAAGGTGGTACAGGATTAGCCTTAACAACAGAAGTTTGCTCTGCTTCTGATGAACTAAACCGCTGCTTGAACCATGGATCATTTGAGTGATCGTACTGTGTCACAGCTGTTGACTTTACAGCAGGAAGCAGGTCTTTCAGAGACGCCATAATTTTTGGCTACCTAATAGGACCTGCAAAGTCTATGAAATATCAAATAGAGGAAATAAATCTAAAATACCACTAACCCAGACCAGAGTTTCCTAGAGCAGAAAAGTAGAGGAAATAAATCTATCTTACAAATAAGGGGCTTTAATTTAAATGGAACCGTTTATACTCTGATTGAAGTATAAAATACAGAAGCTGAAAACTTCCCAGACCAATAAGGTTCAACTTATAGATGAAAGGAGGAAAGGTGTTTCAAGTTCACTTGCAAAAACAGGTAAAACTAGGTTGGGAGGTTTATTTATTTCAGGAAATACTACCTTACACCGAACTTTTTTGACATTTCAAATGTAATTAAACTTATTTAATATTTGCATAGAATGTTTCAACCAACTGCTTCTGTTGTAGCTTATGTATAAATAACTTCAAATTATTTGTGTTTTAGTAGTGAGTAGACACTAGGGGTTAGTCTGCTCGGCCAATCCAATGGTCAGTTTCACAGAATCATTTGCTTCCAGAATGATATAAAACTAGCCCGATGTTGGGACATTGATACAATCCATAAAATTACAAAAGAAGAAGAGAAAATTTATCAACTACATGGCAACCACATTGATTCACTTCCATAGAATTTCAGAACTTGAAACCAATGTGACCATGTGAGTTGTGACTATAAACTTGAAAGTCACCTATGACAAATTTAGCATGCGTCTCTACTAATTTACGAGCATTGTTTATTTAATATTATCTCAATACGATCCTAGACTACAGTACTTGAACAAGCAAACTAACCAGGAAAACAAATTCAAAATTTCGATAATCAACTGCAAATTTACAATGTCAAAAAACATTGTCCATTCTGAATTACAATGCCAGAAACCCTGGCAAGAACCTTTAGTATTCAACTTAATAACTCCAAAATTTCATTCAGAGATCAATCTTTAACAATTCTGATCTACAAATAGATCTAGAGAATACTAGAATAAGAACATCAGGAAGGGCCAATAAATGGTTAATTCAACTGAAAACAAAAAAAAAAAAACTCAAAAAGTCATCAGCCAAAAGCTTGATATTAACCTAGCCGTAAGTTGAGACATTAATGCAATTAACAAAAATTACAAAAGAAGAATAAAGAGGCTACCAAACAACTTGATCGACTCTAGTAGAACTTCAAAAACTTGAAACCTGATGTAGCTATAAACTCGGCTTTCAAGTAGGAGAAGAAGATTAAAAAGCTTGAAACCTAACCTTACTATTACAAAATTTTACTTTCGTTTAATACAATTTCTGAGAGTTCTTTGTGAAAGAACAGTTACTCACAACTAACAGTACTTCAGTTCCGACCAAACAAACTTGGAACTCAAATTTATAATCAAAATAATCCATGACAAGGTTAAATAAGACGGCAAGAATTATTAGCAATTTCTGCAATATTGAAATTAATGACTCCGAGTCCATATAGAAATCATTCTTTAAAAAACCACAAGATCTTTGGAGTGCTAGAAAAGATCTCCAGTTCCAGGAGAATATGAAGAATAAGCAGATATGATCTATAGCATAGGGAACTACGATCCTCACCACCAGAGACAAGAATAACACTATCGATAATAAACTCAATGACTCCGTATTCATAGAGAAATCATTCTTTACCGATAATCTGAGTGCTAGATTATGCTCGCCAGTTCAAGAAAAATATGAAACAAGAGAGAAGAAATAACTTGTAGCACTCGAAATTGAGATTCTCACCATTGGAGAGAAGAACTAACACCATTAATATTCAATAAAATTGCTCCGAAATGAAAGAGAAATCATTCTGACTCTAAAACAACAATAGATCTTCGAAATGCTAAAATTAGTTCTCCGTTCGAGACGAACATGAAGCAAGAGCGAACAAGCAGCCAATAGCATAATAAATTACAATTCTCACCATCGGAAACAAGAATAACTATATCAACATCCAGATTCTAGGTTGAAACGCATCAATTTCTAATAAAATGAAACTTACAGATAGCTAATCTCTGAAATACGACAGGCGGAAACCAAATTTGTTTCTGCAACTAAGAAATAGACGCCGTAACGCGTAGATCGTCGACGGCCTCCGTGAAGAAGGAAGGTGAGCTTCTGCCTTCCGGCGATGCCTCGATTGAGGAGAGAGAGAGAGAGAGAGAGAGAGAGAGAGAGAGAGAGACCAAAGGAAGGAGAAAGCGAGTTGATGTTACTGAGAGTCAGAAATGAAGAAGAGAGGCTTTTGGTTCGATGAATCTTCGCGGAGACAAAGTTGAGCAGTTGGCCTTACGCTGAGGGCTGGCGCTATATATACGGCAATTTTCACGCGCGCCTAGCCGCCGACCTTCGACACCCCCTTCGTAAATTCTCAATATTACCCTTTTCTTTATAAGATATTTCACTTTTACCCTTGTTTCTCTGTTTATATCTGAACCTGTTCGCCGCCAGGTAACTTTATAAATCTATAATATTAACGTGCGTATTTTGATATGTTCAATTATAAATTTGTTTAATAGATTAATTTTAAAAAGAATTGATTTACGGGTATGATACTGTCCACTTTGAGCATAAGCTCTCATGGGCTTGCTTTGGGCTCCTCCAAAAGGCCTCATACCAATGGAGACGACTCTCCACAATGGTATGTATTATATTGTCCACTTTGAGCATAAGCTCACGTGGGTTTGCATTGGGCTTCTCCAAAATGCCTCGCACCAATGAAGAGCGTTAGGCTTCTCCAAAATGTCTCGTACTAATAGAGAGAGTATTCCTTGATTATAAACCCATGATCATTCCCTTCCCTAAATTAGCGATGTGGGACTTTCATCATCCAACACCTCCCCTCAAACAAAGTACGTCTCCCCTTAATCGAGGCTTAACTCCTGGAGACTCGACTTCTTTTCTTTTGGAGTCCTTTGTTCGACATTTGAGAATTTATCAATCTATTGGCACGACTAAGTTTTGGGTATGGTTCTGACACCATATTAAAACGAATACGACTCTCTACAATGGTATGACAACAACATGAATGTCAAAACTCAAAAATTAAATTTGTAATTTAAATAGTTAATATATTTTTTAATAGAATGAATCTGAGTAACAAGCTTAAAAATTAAATTTGTAATTTATATAATTAATATTTTCTTAATTGGATGAATCTTAATATTTTCTCCTCCAACTCACACAACGGAGAGATTTCAAATAATAATCCTGAGACATTATTTAAAGCATTAGAGAGAGAGAGAGGGCCCAATAGAAGATATGAAATCATCATATACAAAGCATGAGAGAGAGAAAGAATAATGTCATCAAAATTTATAAAATCTTTGAAGGTTGAGGCCAAAATGCAATAACTGCCTTTCTCATTCTTCTACAAAATTACAAGGCTAAATCAATAAATAACTAAGAACTCATAAGACAAAACATACACACCAATCAGTAGTAAAAAAACAGGGTAAGAAGAGGTCAAGAAAATCATCAGATCAGATTATTAACAGCAGTCAAAAGAAGAAAAACCTGTAGTTTGTGATTCCTTACAGTGTGGTATTGTATGTTGAAAGAAGTCTCTGTCATAATCAGATGGTAAAAGGAAGCCTCTGTATGATGCGTACGTTTTCCTTGTACCTAACTATGTATAAAAGAGGCTGTGTTACTCGAACCGTGACCGTAGATGCGAGAAAGCGACAAAAGCTGATTGATTCAACATAACCATCCTATAAGATCCAGTCGAAGAACAACTGCACTATCCCACGAGAACACGACGGTATCGTGCAAGAATGCTCTCTCTGAAGACCATAAATTTCGATGCACGGAGTCGTAATTTGTCGCCACAATTGGCACGAAGCATCCTACTATGTACAATATATCATATGGTCGGGGTGAGGCATGGTTGGCAAGTTGGTTATAGTTTTTTGGGCAAATTGTAAGTCTTCTTGAGGAACTTTGCAGCTATCTCATCGTTGCGATAGCACAAGACACGGAGTAGTGTATTCGGCTCGGTTGGTTCCCAATGACCAGAAGTTGGAGGCAAAGGAAGCCTGGATTTAGCTTGCACACCATGCGACTCCACCATCACATATTTGAACTGCTCGATCAGACTTTCGGAGTCTGAACGAAACAGATCGATAACTCCGTTAACAATGCCTGAATGTTTACTAATCAAATCAGCAGGAAGCCCATCACCATTGGACCAAAAGAGATCTGTTAGAAACTTAAAGTCTTCCTCGATCATTTCCGAATCTTGCTTAACAAAAGCACGGGATGGACCTCCAGCAAGTAGAACTAATAGGAAACCATCGAAAGAGGCTTTCATCATGTCGGTTATCACCCGTGTTCTGACTCTGTCATGGACAACAGTTGATGAAATGGTTTCTAGGTATTGCTCAAGCTCCTGAAGGAATGGCTCAATCCTTGAAGATACAACCTCCCCAATATATAAGCCATCCCATAAAAACTGACTGAGATCGTGGAATACAACTTTGTATGCAGTTGCTTCACTTAGTTGCTTTATCCCTTCCACACACAGAGCTGCCGAAAGCTCAAACCATTTCCCAGCTAGGTTCCTAACAGCATCTGTGTACTGAGGCTCGAGATTCTTAAGACGAGCAACTGCCCTTCTTTCTTGGACTTCCAGCTCGGTCCGTATATGGTGCAACGAATTAATACAAACGCATAGCTGGGGGATTGACAAGGAGTTATTGGCATTCGTGATCCCGAACTGGGTCCTCCCCTGACCCGCTTGCAACTTTTCCTTCTTTTTGAATACGCCGAACTTTGATCCTTTCGAACATCTAGTTAAAGCAGGCAGAGCAGGAATATAGGTACTTCTGGATCCTGAAAATGCATGATGAATTTTAATGGTTGCATAGAGATATCACTAACTTCCTTAGAAATTCGGTAAATAGAACACTTACCGCAGCCAGATTTTGCCTTAAGTATGTACTGTTGCAAACATTTGTCAAGACCAGTCATTAAATCAGGAAGCAATGATGCGTGTTGTGGAATTGACAACAAAAAGAAAGCTTCAAAGCTTTCATCGACTATTCGTAAAACTTCAACGACAGAAGGAGCGACGTGCTCTTTGTTTGCACGTGGATTCCATACCTATTCAGAGTGTTTGTAAATGATAGTTCAATAACAAACATGCAAGAAACAGCCCAAGCCCAAGCCCACCGCTGGTAGATATTGTCCTCTTTGAGTTTTCCTTTTCGGGCTTCCCCTCAAGGTTTTTAATACACGTATGCTAGGGAGAGGTTTCCACACCCCTATAAAGAATGTTTTGTTTTCCTCCCCAACCGATGTGGGATCTCACAATCCACCCCCTTGAGGGCCCACTTCCCCTCAAGGTTTTTAAAACGCGTCTGCTAAGGAAAGGTTTCCACACCCTTATAAAGAATGCTTCATTCTCCTCTCGATGTGGGACCTCACAATCCGTTCCATTTCCTAAACATGAAGCTATTACCGGTCCAAATCTACATAATAACCAGATAATGTCACGACCACATACCTCTTGTTGAAGGAATCTACCAATCCATTCCTTTAGTCTGTCCACTCTCGTACTGATCCACGTCTTTACGAGGTCGGAAATTAGCGTTTCAGCTTCGTAAGGAGGCATCTCTCGTATTATGGACTTCCCACCATCTTCACTGTCTACTGAATCTCCGACTGCAATCTGCACGAGATCTTTCTCCAATTTATCAGCTGCATTGAGCACTTCAATAGCATTCGGCGTCAGTTCATCAATACCCGAAATGAATTTCTTCAGTTCCTTGCCGTAACAAGAATGGATCGTTGAAACGGCTACTCCTGCCGCATGAGGGTGCCATTCCTTGAATATTGGACTAAACATTGCCTTCTCATCGAAAGCCAGTTCGCTCACCTCTTGAGCAAGGACAGAAAGAACATGAGGTGGATTTTTCAGGTTTTTAATGGTTGATTTAACCTTCTCCATTTTCTGCAATGATAAGGACAAGAAGACTCTTCAGTGACAATCCACAAATTCAAGTTCACTAACCTCAAAATTCATAAATCTAGTAGAGAGCTAAACAAAGTCAATTGAAATAAGAGATTTGATCTTTAACTGATTGCACTTACCTTGGAAAAAGCAGTTCGAAGTGATGATCTTATATAGTTATCGACTTTGTTATACGCCACGTCAACTTCGATCGTCTTCCAATCGTGTTGGTTATTTTGCAGTAACTCAGATGACAATACTGCAATAGAGACCAGGCTTTGCATACACTCAATGTTGTCACTGTGAAAATCGTTGCGGTATGCAAGAAGCTTTCTCTCCGTTGAAACCAAAATCGAACTAAGAGTAGTGCTCAGGATTCTCGAGTAAATAGGATCCTTGTAGGACTCGACGTCGTCTTCAACTTCGGCCAACAGGCTTTTGGATGCAGATAGCAAGTCACTTCCCACTTGCCCCGTGGCAACGTAACGATTGAATAAAACCCACGAGAAACAAAGATTATGCAGCATCTGGTTCATGCCAAGCACAACCCAAGTTTTCTTAACATGTTCCAAGACCTCATCAACCTCTTCAATGATAGAAGTTGCATCATTAGCATCAAAACAAGCTTCTAAAAGAGTTTGGTAGAGCCTGAGATTCAAAGGGAACCCATCTGCCCAATGGCACATGCCCGGAACAGACTCGCCAAATGATCTACAAGCAAGAGACAACACGATACTTCGAAGGTCTTGGATAATTTCAAAGTTTCTTCCTGCATCAATGGGTTTCTCCATAGCACCACGAACAATCTGTCGAAAACGTTTCGGAGCGTCGTCTGCCTTTTCTAATGGCAAGCGAGGATGCAATAGAAGTCCTATCTCAAGAACCTTCAAATAACGCCTTTGCCAAGCCATGTGTTCTTCATTATTTTGGAAGTCCAAAGCCTTAAGCTGTTGAAACAGCTCGAGCGGCAGAACCATCGACTCTATCCGCCTTCCAAGCTGATCCAAGAACAAGATATTATAAACCCATGGCATATAAGATCGATTGCAGCATATAGAAATGGTTAAACAGAGTTTTGAGCGCACCACTGGTCCTGAGGAGGTTTCACCTGTTAGACGAACACGACTCTCCACAATGGTATGATATTGTCCACTTTGAGCATAAGCTCTCATGGCTTTATTTTGGGCTTCCCCAAAAGGCCTCATACCAATGGAGTCAGTATTCTTTGTTTATAAACCCATGATCATTCCCTAAATTAGCCGAGGTAGGACTTTCATCATCCAACACCTCCCCTCGAACAAAGCACGCCTCCCCTTAATCGAGGCTCGACTCCTTTGGAGTCTTAGTCATTTTTTACTGCCTTCAAGGAGGCCTCCTTTTTCTTTTGGAGTCCTTTGTTCGACATTTGAGGATTTACCAATCTATTGGCACGACTAAGTTTAGGGCATGGCTCTGATACCATGTTAGACGAACACGACTCTCCAAAATAGTATGATATTGTCCACTTTGAGCATAAGCTCTCATGACTTTGCTTTGAGCTTCCCCTCGTAGCAATGGAGTTAGTATTCTTTGTTTATAAACCCATGATCATTCCCTAGATTAGCCAACGTAGGACTTTCATCATCCAACATCACCTACCAAGAATAGCTCTAGAAGACAACAAAAGTTCAAGGATAGAAATAGCTCAATATTTGAATCCATCATCCCAAAAGTAATGAAATCTAAGCATGTAGGAATACAGTAATAGGACAATTTCACGAAGAACTGTCACTCAAATTAGTCTCAATCATGTTCTTCTCGTAAGAGGATGCTAAGATAAGCAATAATCTATCATCAAAACAAATCAGGATGCGAAAAGAGCAAAGAATATGATGTTTTCCATGTCATTTATCATAAATTTTCTCAGCCACAGAACAGAAAATTCGACTGCATAAGAGCTTTCAATTCCAAGTACCGAAACGCACCTGTCCAGCAGTGATCCTCAACAGCGCCCTTCTAATTCTCGAATCAACCTGTTCCGAAATTCTCATCTGAATCCTTATTAACTCCCCTACCGTCAATCCCGAAGTCGCTCGACCTTGATTCGCTGACTCATCGCCTCCGATTATCCTCTTCCTCGCCGATGATGATGATTTCAGCCCTAGCGCCTTCTTAAATTTGCTCACAGCCGTCGACGTTATCGACCGATGCAGCGACGTCGCCGTCGACAACGACGCAGACCGATCAACTCCCTTCTCCGACTGCGAAATATAAGTTAACGGTTTACCGCCGGTGCTCCGGCAAGATCCAATCAAGATCTCGTACGCGGTTACTCGGAGCTCCGACTCCGACAGTTGCAAGCCTAAATCGCCAAACGGCGAGGGGATCTCGTCAATCGGATAAACCGGCATGGTTATTGAGGTTGTAGCGGCGCTGGTGGAGGCCGCGGCGGCGGAAGTAGTGATAGTTGTTGTGTCGTGTATCACTGAGCTCGAACTCGAACCATGCCTTCGGGAGCTTCCTCGTGACCGATCACTGAATAATCGGGACATCGTTGCAAGCTATAACAAAGAAAAACGCAAAATAATCGACCAGAAGATAAGAATCGGATGTGAGATTGTGGGGTCGGAGTTCACTTTTCTCTCTGTTCTCGCGTCAATTACGATTCACCTCCGTTGGGTATAAGAGACGACAGAGAAATTCTTCGCTTCGCTTTCAAGAAAAATCCATGGATACCAAACACAAATAGCTACCAGAAATCTGTAACACACAAGAACAGGAGAATTTTCAACAACGATGGATAGAGAAAGAGAAAGAGAGAGGAAGGTTTCTGCTTTTTCCAAGCGTGTGACAGTGTGAAAAAGAAGAACGTTTACAGAACGGTAGTAATTGATTAATTCAACCATTTATAATTCTAAAAATTGTAATTATCCTTTTAAAAACTAATTTTGTCTTTTTCTTTTTCATTAATCCTTACTTTTATTGAAAAATCATTTTTTTTTTCTTAATTTATATTTATATAAATATGAATAACAAATTGGTGCTCATAATTCCATGATAACATTTCATTTTTTAATTCTAATTTTTAAAATTAATGTTTGGTTTCTAATTTTATTAATAATGATTTTTTAAATATTTTATCAAATTTCAAAAATAAAACCACTTTTTTTTAAATTGCTTTAGTACCTTAAATTTTTAATTAAAATAAAACTAAGCCGTTTCACATAAATTTTATAACATTTAATTCTAAAAATGATACATGAATTAACTGCATGATCTATTTATTTTAATTCTCATTTTCGTCAAATTTCTCATTTAATTTTGTAGAAATTGAGTTTCTATAGAAAATTTTTCAATATATACGAACATAAGTCGTGATAAAGGCTATTGGTTTCAAAAGAGATGCAGCGTTAAGCGCTATTCGTGAAGCAGTCTACTCTTAAATTTCATACGAAATATACAGTTGTAGACCCTTCTAAAAACGACGTGAGTTCATTTAATGTATAATGACATAAGTTAATTTTGGTTGATTAATACTTTCAATTCATACACGGTCAGCTTTAGTTTATTCACATGTGGCGAGCATCTTAACTACAAGTGACCATGTAAATTACATGGTTGAAATTTGTTAAATTTGACCTTTTCTTAGCCAACGTTTTCTTTTCAATCGTTCGAGTAAATTCACTTATTTTATCATTTAAAAATTATGAGGATAAAGAAAGAAGAACACCCTTTTATTCTCCTTGTCATACACCAAAAAGACCGATTCATCATATATATATATATATACTAAGTATGTATAATTTTATTTTATTTATTTATTTATTTTTTTTTTTTGTGTATGAATTGGCAACAAAAATCTACAAATTATTAAATAAATTTTAAACTTCAAATATTAAAATAAAAAAAATAAAAAATTTGGAGGCAAAATGAAAAGTAATCTCTTATCTATTATAATAATCCATAGATCATTTTAAAATTAAAATATATGAAAATGGTACAGAGGGAGACAAATAAAATATGAATTTAATTATTCAATATCTCGTTATGATTGACAACATGGAATTTTGTGCTGTACCTTTTAAAAATAAATATATAAAATTAAAATAAACTAAAAAATAATAATAATAAATTAAAGTAGAATTTTCAAATAATAATAATAATAATAAAAGCCAATTGGGTCAACTAGAGCAACAATTGGTCCGATCCCAACATCCGTCCGTTCTGTGCTGTAATAGGGAACGTGCAAGCCCAAAAGAGTCTAAGCCCAACTTCATTGAAAATGGGCTTTTTCTATTTATTTTAATTTATTTTCCAAATGAGAAGGTGACGTCATTATTGCAAAATCAAACACGTGCGACACGGTCTAAAACCAAAAAATAAATTTGAAGGACAAACAAGGAAATCCCAACATATTAGGACGCCGCAAATCCAGAGGGTCCCTACTCTGCTCCTCACCGTAAAGACCACATCGTGCAACCAACTATACACCGACACGTGTCCTCATTTTACAGTCAAAACTATTCGACTTTCCAGCCAAACCTCACTCCATCAAATGGTGTCTATTTCTTATCGTCACCAAGATGTGACCGTAGATATCTGACGGCAAAGCCTTTTGCGATGATTCTTTTTTATTAGCACGAGGAGAAATTACGGCCCAATGGAACCCGAGCCGTGTCGGCACAATCCTATTGGTCCGTCTGGTAGAAGCCAACCAGGCAGGTGTCACCTTCAAGAGTCAGCATATCTTTTATCCGTATCTTATGCATGGCATTGCTAACTGGTTGGTAACAATGGAACGATTGCAACTCATCGTAGGATTTTTTTAAAATTTTTATTTATTTCTAATTTTTATTCCTTAATAATTTTATTAAGACTAAGGCCAAAAGTGATGGAAAATGTCTGTAATTAATTGATAGATTGTGATCTCTTAACTATATATCAAATTACAATATATTTTAATATATTTTAATGTAACTGGTCATATTAATCGACATCAACCGCTTTTTATTTTGTCGGTATCTTTGTCCGAGATTGACGTTGTTAGGTCGTGTTTCATATTATTAGATAATTTTAAAAAACGTCCAAAAAAATTGTTAAATCATTACATAAACTTAATCACTTTTAATACATAAATCCTTAAAAGGTATCAGAAATGTCTCGGTTCGATTCAACTCAACCTACGAACATGACTATAATATTTAATTTTTATATTTTGTGTTGAATTAAAAAATGTGAATTTTAAATAAATTTAAAGGACAAAGTTTACATCATAGAAAAAGCCAAAAAAAAAAATGAAGCTTTATACTTTAAACCATCCGACAAACTTTTGAATGTAAAATATAAAGGGATGATCAATTTATAAATTACAGACATTGAAATTAAATTCTTTTTATAAAGGAAATGGGAAGGACCACTAAGCCAGCTTGGTTGGTAAGGTATAGCCTTCTACTTTTTCCGACTATTTAACTCTCGTCATCCAATAGATAACTTTAATAGTATCATAATTTATGGCTCGTACTCTCGTCATCATCAAATATACATACACATTTGCACAGGAACTAACTACAGGTGATCATCGACTGTTATTTAAGTTTAAAGGTAATTGTTAGGGGCATAAGACTCTCTATAGCCAAATATTGACGAGTGTCTGGGACAATGATTGTAGCAGCCCAAGCCACAGTTAATAGATATCGTTCTATTTGGGTTTTTCCTATTAAGATTCTCCTCAAGTTTTTTAAAACGTTTTTACTAGAGAAAGGTTTCATTCTCCTCTCTAACTTCCGTGGGATCTCACAATTCACATCTTTCGAAGTCCAGTGAGACCTGGCACTCGATCTTCTCTCAAATTGATGTGGAATCTCACAACCACAACTAACCTCTCCATAATTTTATTCTCCCATAGATGAAAAAAATCACCGTCGACGCCCGCAAACCTTGAAAATAATAATAAAGGTTAAAAGGGAAAAATATATGGCTTAAAGATCGTGACAGTTGGACATCTTTTTATTATCTTCTTTATTTAATAGATTTATATGATATTAAAAAAATTATAATTAATTGATTGTGAATTTTAAGGGCTAAATTGTAATTTAACATATAATAAAAAAAATAATTTAGTACCCTTACTTTAAAGGGGAACCATACAAATTAGTTTTTCTTAAAAAATGATTTTCACCTACATCGTTTATGGGACAAAAAGTAAGTTTTCAATAAATTAGTGATTAATGTTATAATTATTAATTAATTAATCATGATTAACCCATAACCTTAAAATGATGGATAGTCTAGAAATATTAATATAAAATAAATATTATATTATGAAAATTTAAGACATAAATTATTAATATAAAATAATTGATACTCTATATTTTATTTTTAATAATTGTATGGTCTGCAATCCCTATTTAAATGAAGAATCACAAAGAAATTTTTTACTATTAACTAAATGGGGTCGATGATGTGAATAATATTTCCGGTCTCCATTCTCTCCCCGACCATGCCAAATCCTAGATTCGTCCACTTTATATATATGTATAACATCTCAATTGATTAACCTTTAAATAAATTAATTAATTTTATTTGAAATTAAAATTTTAAATAAATTTATTCGACATCATATTTACCAAACAAACTTAAAATTTTAATAATTAAAGTTTAAAAAAACAAAAACTTTAAAATACAAGTTGGATCAAACCAATAAAAAAGTGAATAAACAAAACACATGTTTTTTTTTTTTTTTTTTTTTTTTTTTTTTTTTTTTTTTTTTTTTTTTTTT